CCAGCATTTGGCGCTAGGTTTGCGCTAGCACAGTTCTCAAACGTGATCAGATGTCCATTTGTCCTGGCAGCAGGTCTTCGCCATTACTACCTGGAAAGCTTGCGCCCATGTCTCTTTTCCTACCAAATTCCTCACACCATGGCTATCTTAGACAACGAATGATTATCAAAATGTAAAAGGGGCCTTCGCGCTAGCTACGTTTGCAACATTCTGCACCTCTGATTGAAAAACTTAATTAACATTTATTGAGCAAGAAGCGGGCGCACACCAGAATGACTTTTACAGCCGCTTTCGGGAAAAGACATTTTGACCACCAGTCGCATGACAACGACAACATATGCGACATGATTGGAAAATTAAAACAGACAGACTCCAACAGACAACAAAATGGCTCATGAGACAAGGTTATGACGAAATTATATATTCTTAGATTCTTATGTTGTAGTAGCGATGACCTCCAACCTAGTGGCGATGGCCTCCACTTAGTAGCTTCCTAAAGTATTTCAAAAAATGTTGATTCACTTGCTTGTTGGCATGTACTTAGGCAATGGCAAGTGGACCCAAAAGCGGTGGAGCCGGTGACGGCCTATGCCTCCGCTGATACTGTTTTCCAGGACAGTTCGTTTGCGAATCACTGAGTGCAAAAGCAAACAAAGATGATGGATGAGAACACTTCCATCCCACAACTCCTCTCCTGATGGAGAATGCTTCCATCTCACAATTCCTCTCCATCTCCTTCCGTGAGTAGTCAATGCTGTTCGGATAGATTCTCTCCAGAAAACACAACATCGTTTTGCCGGATTTTGCCCAACATCAGCGCCCGCAGGTCGCAGTCAGTCTCTCGGATGCTGAGAACTAAATGTCGTTTAAATTGAGGAACCCAGAATAGGTCTTCAAAAAGTTGTTTTTGTTGTGTTGTTTTTGCCGGTGCTCGTTGCTGTTGCTAGAGGGAGAATGGCAGTGGAAAGATTTGGTCCGGTCACGGTCATGGTGAATGTCAATTGTTTGTGTGTTTCGAATGTTTGTCCCAACGTCAACATTGCATGAGTAACGTGCCGTTTCCTTCGGTCTCAGTCCTTCATATTCAGCCAATGTGGAGCTGAGATTCTGAGGCTTGATCATGTTGAACACTGGCCTGCATGTTGCTGCGAAGAAGTTAGGAAATAAAGCTAAAGGCCCGTGCCGTTTTGTCACATGCCGCTGAGCAAAAAGCAAAAGGACCTCACTCAGAATGACTTTGGCTTTGTGGCAAAGTATTACTCCAGAGTTTGACAAATGGTGAAAGCCTGGGATCACCATCCTTGGACTGATTTCAATGCGACCGAGTCACGGTCGACCGTGGCAGGTGCCAGCATGAGCCTGGAAGAATATATTGCCAATACAAGGTGCCAAAATATTTCAGCGTGGCAAACGCACAGAATTGTCAATAGCCGGTGTTCAAAACAGAGACAGCCTCGAGCCTGGCATTGAATGGCTTGCATGTTTTGAAATCGTTTATGTGATTGCAATTCTTGCATGAGTCCGGGATGCCTTTCAAGCTTCAGCATTCAAGGGGCGTCGGAATTGCAGGCGGCTAGTTCCAGCGGAAGAAGTCCCCGATGAAGCCTTAAGGGCTTGGTTTGAGGACATCAGCCGCTCGTTTTGATGTGGTGTGCATCCGCCCTAGGTAGTCTTACCCAAAGTCAGAAGTCAAGGCAGGTTTTGCCTAATTACTGATATCATGTCACAAATGCAAGCTGCCCCCCAGCAGTTATGTTTCCGCCGTTTTTCAGCAATCAGTAACCGTCAGCAATCACTGTCAAGCCTTAAGTCCAATTCGTACAGTACCCGCAAAAAAAAGCATTTACTGTATATATAATATTAAGACGCGGTTACACAAGTGGAGCATCCACGAGCATCGCCCTTGGCAAGCCATTCCAAACCACGAAGGATTTCTCTTTGTCTACTTAGACTACTTGGACATACTTTGACTACTTTCTCTTAGACTACTTTCTCTTTGTCCATGGTGCGACAGTCATCCCAATGGTGTTTCTTGTAGGCACACCGGCATTCTCCGTGGAGCTCCAAGGTTGTACAGAGATTTCCGTGGAGCCGATGCCTCGCACACCGTTTTCCAAGTTGCCGGTGCAGCCCAACATGGAGGGATGGAGTCTCGGCATGGGACCCTGCCGAGACTTCCTCTCTTGTAGGTTGCTTTGGTTTGGAGTCTTGAGTCTTGGCCTCCAAGGGATGCATTCGACTTCTTCCCACTAAATGAACGTAGCAACTTGACATGTGACATAGCATGCTTTCATGCACAGAATGTAAACTTGATCTCAAGGCTTATCGCCGTGGTCAAGAACACCAGCTTGCGATTTTGGGCAGTGCTGGTGCCATGGCAGTTAATGTGACGTTGCAAAACTGTTTGGGTGTGACGACATTCTGGTGGTGCCATTCTGCCGTAGACAAGGACAAAAGTCTGACAGATGGTTCCTAGACATTCCGAATGACTCAGTTTGCAGGTCAACTGATTGAAACTCGCGCGAAAACAGGCAGAGGATAGTAGCGAATGTGATGCAGTGAGGCGTTTGACAGCATGACCTTTTGAGACGACGCAGCCATGCAAAGCAACACGTAATCCACAACAGGGCAAGCTGACGTGCTCAGGTGCTTCAACGGATCTATCTCTTCTCGGATTCCCAGGGTGATGTTGATCCAGCAGACGTCATCGATCTAAAGGATGTGGCGGTGACAACTCTTGAAGCAACCTGGCTCCTGCTCACCGGTGAGTGCTCCCACTTCGGGCCGAAGATATCCAAACGTGGAAGGCTGAAATAGAAGCACAACACACCTGAAAGATCCTGAAAGCACAAAAAGTCCGAGACCAACTTTGAAAGCACAGGTGCGTGAAGACCGGACTTCAAGCTCGCAAGAAGAAAGCTTTCCACATGCAAACATCGTCGTAATGGACAATGGACAAACTTTGTGAAGCTCTACTCATGGACAAACTTGTGGCTTGATTGGACTCATTGGCTCAGGAAGATCCAGAGGCTCGCAAACGCTACCTGGACAACTTGCACCTTTGCTGAATCTTGCATCCACCCATCTCGAAGCAGAAGTTCGGTGAGTGAGGGTCACTGTTGGCAAACATACAATACATGACCCCTCCAGGACTCCACTAAAGAATTATAAATATATATATATATACTGTATATAATTGGATGGGGTACTTTGTTAGCTGTTGGGAATTTTGATCAAGTCCAATGTCAAGGAATTGAAATTATATATATATAATTGGCTTACTCCCAGCGAGATGTTGCGGAAGAAATCAATGGGGGTCCAGCGAGATGTTGCGGAAGAAATCAATGGGGGTTGGCCTGTGGAGGAGGGGTGGATTTATTTGGATGGCAAGCTTCAGGTGTGGGATGGTTTGGGAGCATGAAGGGGCAGGCTGGAACCAATGAGAACAATGGAAAAGAAACTTTAAAGGCTTGATAAAGACACATTGAAGCCAACCAAAAAACTGGCAAGAAGCTGCGGGCTGTGGGGGGGGAATGCCCGACCACCCCACAAATCAATGTGTCAGGGCAAATTCATTGAGGGGAATCATCCTTTGCAGGGTCGGTTCCATAAATGAAGGTTTTGCCAGGTACAAGGACGCAGTTCAAAACTAATTCAGGGGTTTGCGAGTGCTCGGCCAGTTGGGGGGCCCCCCAAATGAAATCAGCCGAAAATTAATCCATCCGCCGAGCTACTCTGAATTAGTTTCCAAAAAGCACTCAGGGTGCCTCAATTGTTATTGATTGAGGAGGGCCCCCCAGCCCATTTAACGTACGGGCCATATTGATATAATTGCACTTCCCAACTGCTCAAGCAAACTATATACAGTACTTGTATTGTATGACCAAACTATCACAAAAGGTGATTTGAGAGGGGGCTGTGGTTCTAGATTGGAAAGTTCAGCTGTTGTTGCATGCCGTCAATTGCACAACATGACGTAGTTTCCGCACTGTATGAGGCCCGGTGCCCGGCGCTCCTTTTGCTGTCGCCGACGGCGTCCTGACCCCTGGTTTCTCGCGGCCTCTCGAAGGTGAGCTAATGGGAGCGGCCCCTGGGAACATAGGAAATCATAGGAATGTGATGGCATGTGCGTCATTGGGGTTTGCCCATTCATTCCCCTCAAGGCCCTGCAAGGCTTGTAGACGCACGGACAGCCTCACTTGAGATGCAAAGTCCTGCCACATGCGCAGGGCCCTCGAGATATCGCAACGCTCTTCAGGGCCTCCGGCCATTTTGCAGAAGTCTTGCTCCTCGGGTTGCAGAAGTTTGGACAGGTTGTTTAGCAAAAGGGACGACCTATACACTTCGTATTTCATGTGCACAGGCAAAAAAGCTATGCGGCGACTGGTGCTCGTGGCGGAATCAGCCGATCTTGCCGAGAAGTGGGTGTGTCTTGGCTGTTTTCAAAGGTCGAGGGGCATAGAATGCCATCTCAACATCAGGTCAATTGTTTTGGACCTGACCTACCGCACAAAAAGCCAGCCAGGTTTTCTTGAGCTCATGTGCTACTACATAACATGAGCTACAGAATCTGGCAAGGTGTTGTTGTTTTTTAGCTTTATCATGCTGGTGATTTTACTGCCGCATGCATGCTGTTCCCGAGGCACATGATCTCCTGCGGGCCTTGAAGATCTTCACTTGACTGCACCAGCAGAGTCAAAAAGAGCTTGAAGTTACGTTGCCAAAGTTCACTTGAAACAAAGTGGGGAAGCCTTACTGCATCCATTGAGCTCCTTTGAGCCACTCCACTCAAATGGATGCAAGACAATGACCCAAAGGTGCAGGCGAAGTTCATGCTATATGTGATGTGTATATATATATATATTTCTGTACATATACACAGCTCATACACACTTGTTCAATTGTTGATCCACTTTGCTCCACTTGCTGACAGTGATCAACGATGTAATGTAATGATGGAATGCTCGAAGAAGGCATTGATCTGGAGAAAAGCGTCTCAGGTCGTTTGGAGGTTTGCTGCCCAGGCTTCCGGGAAAATCTCTCAGGCTCCATGCGCCTCGCAGGGCACAGATGGGGCATAGGCATAGATTGTTCTATTTTTTAATGTTGAAGCCCGCTCCCCCCTCCCTACTTCATTAAGTAGGCGCCTACTTAATTAAGTAAGGGAGAGGTAGCTTGTAGCTTAACTAGCTGCTACCGACACAGGATGCAGGATAGCTCACGCTTGTTCAAGGAAGCGCTCGCACCAATGATTTGGCTTCTATATTTTTTGGAAAATTTAAGGTATATTCTTGGAGACTTTTCGCACTTGTAGCCACTTTGTAGCCAGCACGGTTCTGGTATGATGCGCTTGGGACTACATGGCGCATACGGCGTGTCATTGCTAAGGCACCGGCTGTTGATATTTTTGGCCAGCAGCCCAGATGTATCTGCAGCAGCGACATGTAACCGTTACAAGTTTGCTTGCCGCAGTATTAGTGTTTGTGGCAAAGGACTGGAATGAGTGGATTTTGATTCCTGTCAACACCATTGCTGCGTTTGCGATTTTCTTCTCAAACTTTGAGTGCCGCTGGGCTGCAACCTGACAAGATGGCCAACCATGCCTGATCTGCACATGCCAGGTGAGAGTGGAAATAGCAGATGTGCCAGTTCCATGTTGCACGCCTTCACATCTTCCCGCATGCTTTGCCCCTTTGTTTGCACAGGTGATTGGGTTAGGGCCAGAATGTAAAGGGAAAAGACTGCAAGCACGTTTGGCAACGTCCGCACTCTCCAGTGTAGCCCAATACTTGTGACATTATATATGCTAGAAATTGCTACAGTACTTACTGTTGCTTGAGTGCTTCTGCTTTTTGTCAAAGAGGTCCTGTACAAGGCCCAACTTTTCATGGAGACAGTTTTCAAAACCAAATAACCTGGACTTTGGTAGGATATTTGTTCACTGTGCGTATCCTTGCTGAAACACTGCGGCTGTATGCTTTGACAGTGGCCGAGCCGCAAGCCTCCCTCGGATGCAGAAAAGAGATGCATGCATTTGGGCCCCAGAGCAATAGCACCATAGACCATCATGAATCCGCATTGACGCGTCCAGGTCTGACTGCCGTTGCCAGTGACACAACCGCATTGACGCATGCTGAGTTGTGATGGCTGGGGATCGCCCGCACTGCTGTGGCTGCTTTAAAACTTGGCCGCAACGTGAAACATGAACTGCTCAGCGACGCAGGCTCCTTCAGGATGCAGTGCTTAAGAACGGTCCGCCTTGAAGAACTCCAACAAGCGCGAACGCCAGGTGTTTTGCGTGCAACTGGCAACTGAAGGTGCATTTGGGCCGAGATGCAGGAGTTCGGAGTGTCCTCCGAACATGCCATGCCTACACTCTCTCCTCCCTCAGCTGTTCCTTCAGCTCATGTTGCAAGCACTCCAGACCTTTTGGACGGCCGAAAAGCAATCGCACATTTCACAGTCTCATACGGCCCTCAACAATTTAGACTTCATGAACTCTGGGGCGCAGAATATCAGAACCAGATGTTTCTGGTGAATTTGCTGAAGAAGCTTGTGGACGAAACTGCTCTATAATAACTATATAATCATATAATGTATTAGAATGTTACATGTGTGTTGCCAGGATTGAATTAGGCCCTGTGAAAGTTCAAATTTGATGAATAAAAGAATGGTGGCGAAGTCCATTGTGGCAAGCCCCTATACTTACCATACTTGATTTAGAGCAACGTCATACAAAAGAAAATGTCGAATGAGGGCATGCCAAAAACAGTGCGAAGGTGCAAGTCCAAACAAGTGAGGCAGGTCCTGGCTCGAAGGACATGGATACATACACATACACATACACACACACACACGATTGACACGCATGCTTGTCGTGTGTGCATGGGTGCAAGTATTTGTGGTCTTGACTTCATGCATTCTTAGACGCAACTGGAATGCTAAGGTGTCCTGCAAACGATTGCTTTGACAAGCTTTGTGCTACAGCTGCTCGCCAGTGTTGCAACACGGTCAGTAAGTGCATGATGTTATCAAGCCGTTTAGAATGGCAACACTCCATTTACTGCTAGTCGTCCGAACCTCGCCACGCATTTGGATTGAGCTGAAGCGCTGAGGATTTCAAACTCCAAGCCCAAGCTCCGATAAGATTTGTAAAGAGAACCTACCTGAACAAGCTTTCAACAGCAAGAGGGCGAAACGTTTGCAGTGCTGTTAGTTTCTTCAGACTTCTACAACGCACACTCTGGTTGCCTTCCGATCATGTTTTTGTGGCTTTGCTGTGACACTGAGGCTGTTTGCCTCAGAATTCCTGGTGGCGTGGACAGGGGCCACTCGAAACAAAATGAGCTGCCTTTGAGGTGGCCCTTTATGCTGGTCGGTTTCAACAGTTGTGCTGGAATTTAATGTCAAGCAGATGGGTGTTTTCGGTGACTGACACTCGGGATCGCTTCATGCAAGCAAGGTGTTCTACTTGCTGAATCATATGTGTGTTTACCACAAGGACACACGGCAGGGGTCTTGAAGGCGAAAGCGATAAAGATATTTTTTGCCGAAGGATTGCATATTTTTTGAAGGGTAACTACGAGAACTGGTGTATAAATATGTATAAAAATCATGATACATAGATGCTTTCTTTTGTAAATATATCTTAGCATTCTTTGCAAAATAGGTCAGCTGTCAACCGACCTAATCTCACACTGATTGGCATGAAACACCGTTTTTTGAGCAATTCAGTGATTGCAATGTCATGTGGTCACATGATGTTCACCATGACCATGGCAGGAGTTTTTGCCACAGGCCGGGTGAAGGGTTTGCTTTTGCTTTTGCATGACTTTGTGCCAGACATGAATCTCATTTTTGATATGGCCTCAGGGGGGCTAATGTTTTGCACTCCGTTCATTTACTAAGCAGTTTTATCGGATGATCAGAATTGAATTGCCAAGCCTGAGTCATGGAATGCAAACATGGCTCAATGTGCCGACGCAGGTCCAGAACCCGCACTTGTATAAAGCTTTCTTAGTAACTAGAAGCTACTAGGTTGAGGCCATCGCTATTAGGTTGAAGGCCATCGCTACTAGCAACAAACATGTTGCTTCACAGTAACATGAAGAAGGTACGGTATGAAGTGTTTTCTTAGTTTTTCTCCGAGATCCCACCTCAAGGCACAGCAGCTGATCATGGGCGTATCGCAGCAGCACAGCCACTGGTCGGAGATAATGTTGTGTTTTCCAAGAGATCCATACCTTCAGTCGGAGATCCAACGAGGCCTGTTTCCATTGTTTCCCTGATGTTAACTCGAGAATGACAGGTGTGCATGTGAACACGCAAAAAGCCAACGTATGATGGCTTTGTGGCTGGGGGACATTCAGCGAAACATGGTCTTGTTACGTTTTGCAACTAGCGCATCAAACTTCCACCTGCATATGAGGCTCCTCCTCTTCAAGTTGGACCTCGATGTTCAACCCGATCAGCCACTTGAAGACCAGTCAAGATGGATCCCTATTACACAACAGCTGATACATCACGCTTTGATGTACTTGCCGGGTTAAACAAATATTCCTGTGATCCGTACACTGCATGCAGCGATCATATAGTACGACTGCATCCATCCATAAGCTTCTCCTTGAGGAATGCCCTCAATGATCCAGACAGGCATTTGACATATGTCGTTCATCGTCTAGGAGAATGCGTGAAGCCAGTGAAAAACTAATGAGCGTACTCAGCGGTGCAAGGCATGCGACAGTTCGAAGGGAACTTGAATCTGCAAGAGCCGGGCGCTCAGAAGCCCATGGACGTCTCCACTTCTCCCTAGAAATGGGTGAGTGACTTTGGACTTATCAGCAGCCTTGGTGCCAAGGTATTGCTTGATGTTGAGCACATACGATGATCCCAAGCTCTTCAGATACGTTATTTTTTCCTCAGTTGAGGTGCCTGGAGGTGTAGTGCTTTTCTCACTATTCAATGGGACCACTTCCAACGTTCCAAGGAGCGAGTGGACGTGGCACTGCAGCGAGTCTGGCTGGCATCGCTATTAACGACCTTGAGCCAAGTGATGATGGCTGTGGCTTTGTCGGGCGCAACCTGTCTTGAGAGATGCTCGTAGGACGAGAAGCATCACTAGATGAATGATGAAGGGTCAGGAAGCGGCTTTCTTAATAACTTTATAATCTATATATATATAGATTTTGCACATCAACTGATCTGAAGGAGGCTGTCAGGAGGAGTCGGGTTCCTAGTTGGCCTGGGCAAGCTTACTTACCTACAATTGATTGTGCAGTGATGCTTCATCTCACTGCCCCTCTGTTGGCGTGTTTGTACAAGCGTTTTTGCACAGCAAATACAGACTACTGTGATGTCCATAGAATGTGTATATATAATGCGACTTTATATCGTGTGAAGAAGGGTGAATGGCAAATAGAGTTGTTGTACAATCGGTGGTGTTGGTGCCGAGGAGAGGCAGCGAGCAGGGGTTCACGAAGATCATGCTCAGAGCCTTGGCCTTTTGAGAACCACTTGTGCAAGTTTGTTGGACCCTTTTCACTGTGAAAGCGTTTCTGTTTGGCCGCCAACCCATTTTAGGGCCAGCCAGCCAGCCACTGAAAAAACGATCGTGCAGAGCGCATGATGTAAGCAAAACAACGTGCAGAGAATGAAGGAGAGGTCAAAGGAGCACTAGCTGCATTCTGCTGAAATCTCACCGCTCAGGCTCAGGCTCAGGTGCTTGACATGATTGAGGCAACATGGAAAGAACTCAGCCTCCGGCCACCTGTAAGCAGAATTAAGCAGACTTACTGCAATCAGGTCGCTGACTGGTCCACAAAGGCAACTTAACCCCCAACCACATTGGGCATGACATACTGGTGTGGTCACACCACCTTTGACTAGTCTAGCATTGCCTGAAGTCCTGCACTGCCTGATTTTCATTGCACTTAGTAGTTTAGTTTGGGATAGTTTGCCCCCTGCCATGGCGCCCACATGTCGGGATTGCTTGGCCCAATGTTTCGGCATCGAGTCCGAAGACTTGGAGAAGGATGACCATACCAGCATGTCTGAAAAGGAATCACAGCGGACATCCTGCTTCGAGACCACCAAAACAGTGCTCAAACTTCTATGCATTTACCTGGCAGACTCCTCCAGTCGCACACGTGCAATGCCACTCCTGCTTGTGTCTGTGAGCTTCACTGGCCTTTCAGTCTACATGGGCTACGTCGGAGCAACAGCTTTCCAGCCAGTTGTGAATGCATTGAGTTCGAAGGATTCTTTGGAATTCGGCCGTGCTTTTGAACTCTTGATATTGTGCCAAGCAGGGTGGGCCGTGGTTGACTGCATTCGCTCGTTTATCGTTTCAGCACTCAGCCTGGATTGGCAACAATACCTCACAATGCGCTTGCTGCAAAAGTATGCTGATCAAAACCATGGTTTCTACAAGCTTAAGCTCCACCATGGCAGTATCGACAATCCCGACCAGCGAATTGCAAAGACCGTAGCTTCCTTCACAAAGATGTCAGTTTCCGTGATGGCAACTGTTGTTCAAGCCTTAGCTCAGGTTTGTACCAGTGCAATAGCACTTTTGCAAGTTTCACCCAGTGTTTGCATCATTCTACTTGGCTTTGCTAGCTTGTTTTCGCTTTGCTCCTTCGCTTTTACCATTCCAATGACGGCAGTGCAGTGCCGCATGCAAGCAAAGGATGCTAGTTTCCGACATGTGCTGATGCGGATGCGGGAGCATGCGGAGCCAATTGCTTTCTTGCAAGGAGAGGGTTTTGAGAGGGCATGCTCTCAGCAGGCTTTGAGCCGTGTCATTTGGCAGAACTACCAACTCAAGGTCTTGAATGCTCTCTTGAAACTTTGCGCCAACTTTGGCCAAGTGGGCTTGCTTTGCTTGCCCGTGATGCTCGTTGCACCACTTCTGTTTTCAGACAAGGTGGATCTCGGCTCTTGGGCTTTGACCGAGCGCTTTTTTGGCTATCTAATGTCAAATTTGCTTGCCCTTGGCCACCAGGTATCATACATAGCCAAGATTCATGCATATGCGTACCGCATCCAAGAGTTGTGGCATCAATTGGACAGTATCGGAATCGAGGAGGTCGCGCACTCAAGACCCACCCACCGATGGCTAAGCGAAGTCGAGAGTCTAGCTTCGGACACTCCACGAGACTCACGAGACAGTTCACTGTCACCACTCCAGGAATATTATCCACAAGAATGGGCAACCCAAGAATGTGTGACTCTTGTTTCGGGTGCCTCGGACAGCATTCCAGTATCCATGGCAGATGTAAAGCTGAGGACCCGGACTGTTGAAGTGAGTGTCAGTGGGCGCATTGACCTTAGACAAGGCGAATCCCTCTTGCTCCTTGGAGGGAGTGGTTGTGGAAAGACACTACTGCTGAGGGCCTTCGCTAATTTGTTCAAGAATGGCAGTGGGACCATCACCCGTCCAGCCTTGCCATGTTGCTTTTTCGTGCCCCAATCACCATATCTTTGCTTGGGCAGCTTTCGTGACAACCTTCTTTACCCACACTCGAAGACTTCTCAACGGTCAAGAACCGAGATTGATTCAGTGGTGAAGGCACTGAAGTTGGACAGAATGATCGAGAATCATGGAGGAATTGACCAGGTGCCAAAGGCGGATCAGCCCTTGTCAAGGTCTGAACGCCAAAGGTTGAACTTGGCCAGGCCGCTGCTATATGAGAAACAGCTTCGCTTGCTGCTCCTTGATGATGCCACTACAGATCTGGACCAGGAGATGAAAGATGCTGTATATAAGCTGATCCAGCAGCTTAAAGTGCCCTTCATCTCTGTGGGAAGTGACTGGCAACTCATGGGCTATCACACCTACGCGCGGTCAGCAACAAATAGTTCAGACTCAATCGTTAGTTTCACCAGTGCAAACCTTATTCCAGAACTGACATTTAACACGCCCAGATGGTAGATGAAAAGATGTGATGTGAGCATACCGCTTGGCCTGGGAAGGGTGGTTTGCACATGTTTGCACTCGAGTGAAACTATATACTATATATGTGAAACTAAGCTTCACCATCCCATGTTTCCTGGATAAAGCTTGTGTTGAGGTAAACTTACGTGCCTACTAAGTCAGTATCACGGTGAGATCCTGGAGTTCCAATCCATTCTCTCCCCTAGAAGCACCGGCGAAAGCCCAAAGGGGACAAGAATCAAGGCACTACAGCAGTGTGGTATCCGATGGCGTGCAGGGCTTGCGGCAGAACGTGCGACTTGGTTATGCAAATGTGGGTGGTGGGCGTTGTAAGAAGCAGGTACAAAGAATCTATATTTATCTTATCTATATTTGTCATCCTCCACGAGTTCAACAGTTTGGTCATATCATATCCCAGATCACAGATGGATGGAGTGTTCACCGGGCAGTCCAAGCACAATGGACGACTCCTTTTGAATCGAACATTCGCTAGGCAAAGCTTCGCATCTCACCTGCAGCCGGCTGTGGCCAATGTGGGCACCATGGGGTGCCTTGGATAGAATGGGTCAATTCAGACATAGGGGCGGCACAAAGACATTGCCCGCGATTACGGCTGGAATGTGATACAACGCAGCACCCCCAAATGACACGGTCGATATTTAAGTTGTGTTGGCATGCCGGGATGCCCTGTTGAGATGCCTCAAAGATCCTCAAGGATGCTGAAGCAACAGCACCACAACTGACAAGACTAGTTTTGGCAGCGACCTTCTCGCTGTTTGTGCCAGTTGCACCGCGCAGTTCGCGATAGTGTCGCTATATATATATACAGTAACTGGATATTTGTTTGTAAGGCAACCATTTTGATAAGATGTTTGGCAAAACCAGTGGCAATCTTAATGTGACATTCACCATTCACCGGCTATGATTACAGCGAGGGAAGTTGTAGTGAGTGTAGCAGTAACATATTTTCAAGAGTGGCCGCCTCCTTACTGATAATATTATAGTTATAATATATAATATATAATATATATATATACTATAACTCTTTGACGCCATATTGTATCCAGGTCGCAGATGTTGAGTGGATTCAAAGGCCGCCAGGGTCACTAGGGCCAATGTGTCCGAAGCTCCAGATTTGCATGATGCAGCGCACAAGATCGCACAAACATCGCAAGTGAGCGTGCATGAGGATGCTTGAGGGATGTCATAGACTGATCGCTGAAAGCACAATATGTGTTGCATTTGCCGATGTGCAAACCACTCGGTGGTGAACAGCGAAAATGATGTTACTCTTGTTGGCATCTCCCTTTATCCACATCCTGGCGCACAGTTCGCTTCTCTCGGAGACCTGGCGCACGGATCAAAAGCCTGCTGCTGGCCGTAGTCAGCAGTCTCACATTGTGTGTTTTGTACTTGGACTTTGATGTTCGTCTACAAGCTGATGACTTGGCCAGGCTCGGGTAAAGTCCTTGGAGAAAGCCAAGGCGGCCCTCAGTAATATTGCGAAAAGGATTGTTTTGAGCGAAAAGAATACATTTGATATTGAATAATATTGAATAGAGACTCGCGATGCTTTGTGCAATGCAACGATTCCACTCCGCTCATTATATGTCATAATTTGGTTCGTTCAACTACTCAACTCTAGTTGCTGAACAACTACAGTATGTTCAAACAAACACTAAGAATAAAGCATTACACTGGACAGATAGATATAGCAATATTTTTTTGTTGTCAAAACTCGTTACTAAATTGTACGCATAACTAGTATATGGAAAGCATGTAAAATAGGTGTGAGCTTTGGGAGTTTGGTGGTCCAAGGAACTAAAGGAACTACTGTAAATAGAATACTCCTCATCATGCATGTTTCCTCCTTGTTAAACATTGTTAAATGTGTCCTGTGTCCTTCTTTATATTAAAGTGGTAGTTTTTCTTCCGGAGGCCAGCATGACTCAAAGAAGCATGTTCCTTGGATTTCTTGGCCTTTTTTTCCCAAGCCTTTCTTTTTGGAAGGTCCTCTCTTTGAACATGGGCATCCTCCATTTACACCTGTTTCCAAACGTCTTTCTGGCCCTTTACACATATTACGTATTTGCTTTCAATTGACTCTCCCAATATCCAATCGTTTGCAGATTCCATCGGTCAGAACAGCCCCTCTCAAATACTGACGGTACTTTGAACACATTTGGCGCGTTTTTTCACCACCAGAGGGCCAACGCGTGGAAAGGAAAATGAACCAACAGTGTGCTTCTATTCATCTAGATCTTCCTTTTTGACAGCTGATTCTGGAAGATCTTCCTTTTTTTGAGAGCTCGCCGGATCTCCTTATTGACCCTGCCCCATGTCTTGATGCCTTGATGTTATCTTTTTTGTTAACCGCCAGGAAATTCAAGGCTGGGCCTTCAGTTTACCAACTTACTTTTTGAGCGCAAGACAATGACAAGCAGCCAATGTGCGGACAGTTTGCCAGGGTGACAAGAATGATCGGTGCATTTGCGTTCCAACACACGAGTTGGACTTGATGTAGTAGAATTGTTTTGGGTGGGCAGATAAAAAATTGTAGATGCCATGCGCTGTGACAGAAGCGCTGAAGCTGCAAAAAAAGATGTGATGTGTATTTTTGTGGCCAGGAAATGACCTCGAGAGGACGACCTGGACATGTCAAATGGCCATGTCTGTGAGGGGGCTAGGTCCATGCACGTGCAGCAGTAGATCAAATCAGGCTCCAGCAAAAAAAACATCAAACAACTGTTGTAAGTTTCAAAGTTGAAGTGGCAACTAAGGTCCCACCAGCTATCAAAACAAGAGAAAAGAAGACCCCCATCACGTCTTATCCACGGGTGCGCTATTAATCAACAAGTAGCCGGCCTTGCTGCAAATTTCTGACTGAAGATGACTGATGGCAATTCATGGAGGGGCTGGTGACGGAGGGCACTGTTTTGTCTCTTCATCACGTGTCACGTGACTTTAGCAGGATGGAAGAGCAACTTAAGAAGCGCCTTCAAGCAAGGGCCTTAGGATGCCGTCACGGGCCCTCAGCGTGTCATCAGACCAACCTGTCCCGATCGACTGGATTCGTGCAAGCACGATCGGTGTCGCTCTGACGATCAGCTGGAGACATCAATTACCTAAGTCACGGGCGATTCTTTACTACTAGGAGCAAGGGCATCGCTACTAGGGGCTCCTGGCATCGCTACTAAGAGCAAGAAGCTGGATAGGGAGGGGTTGCTTAAGTCCTGAGGAGCAGAACATGGCCGTGCAGAGCAGCATGGACAAAATTCGCCAGTCAATGCTAGCACCTCAGGGTTTGGCCAGTTCTTTAGATACTGTACGCTTGTTCAGTAGGACGTTTGGTCCTTCCTTTTTGGCGATTCTAGAGTCACAGCAGCCCAAAGGGCCCTTCAGTCCGACGTGCCAGCGCCCGTTGCTGGTCCCTTTTCAGCTCCCAGGATGTGGTAGAAATGCTCCCTCACCACCCCACATGGGGTCGCTGCCATGGGATCGTTTGCACGTCGGGACGCCATGGTGCTCACCGTGTCGGGCGTCCCCCACTGGGCCGTCGCACCTGGGCCGTCGCTCCACTGGCGTGTGTGGCTTGTGCTCCACGCGCGTTGGGTCGAAGAGCTGAGAGCTTGGAGAACCTGACGGTGAGCTGAAGAACATTACAATCCTTCCAAACTGTTTGTTTGGCTTGCTTGGTTTACCTTCAAGTGCATAAAATTTACAATTTGACGGGTTTTTGTTTCTCAATTCAGACTGAAAGAAGCCAAGCCAATGTTGATCAGGTGCCCATGCTGAAGAGCAGATTGCGTTCACAGGCAAGCCTTTTGAGCTTAACTCTTTTGCTGGGCGGCAGGGCTTATATGTAAGCTTTGATTCAATACCTTCTATCCAAGATGAGCCACTGCGAACCTGGTGTTCCAGGTAGGGCTAGGCCATGCTAGGCCTGTCGGATTGTTCGCTAACTTTGGCACACTATATTTGATGGGCTTGTGGAGGGTGTTGCACACCAGCAAGCATCAGAAAGAATCCGCGGAATTTGGTTCATATTCTTTCGATATTTCCACACATATTTATATATAGACACATTATTATATATATATATATGATATACAGTAATATATATATATATATATTCACGCAGTTAGGTCCTAATCAGTCGTTCCAAACTGAAGTGCGCAGTCAATGTGCAGTGTTCTTTTTCAGCTCTAGTGTTGTTTCAACCTCCCAGTTTGACGTATGAAAGCCCGGACTCCAGTGACGAATTGGACATATGATGACATACATAGTCTGTCAATGCCACAAAATTTGGCAGGTGGAAGGCTTGTACTGACATGCGCTGATATTAAGAAAGCCCATTGTTGAAGCCAATCTAAACGCTTTCACAGATTAACTTTGATACACCCGCTGGGCCAACTTAGTAAGTCACCGGGCTATCAATGGGTTTTCTTGCGACCCATGCAGGGCTTGCCATTGTCGGGCCGCAAAGCAGAGCTGGTAAATCGGCTTCGGAAGCATGGAGACAGCCGCTGGCATGCTCTTACCGTAAGAGAGCTGCAGAAGCTCTTGCGCGAGCGAGGCGTTTTGAATGACACAGAGTTTGTGGGGAGATTTCTGGGAAGAAGGTCGAAGGTGTGTGATTCTCCTTGATTCTCAGCCGTTTGAGTTGGGATGATTCACAACAACCCAAGTAGGAGAGGGGGCCTCGTGTAGCAGCTAATCTACCGGTACCGGTTTGGAATTTGTCGTTTGTTGGAACAAAAGGGCAGAGTACCCCCAAACGGAGCAGTGGCGTCAGAAGTCGTTTGGATTCTTTTTACTGGTGGGTTCGGTAGCCCAAACGACGGGTTCAGGCCTGCAAGTATCCGGCTTGAAGCGTGAGCTGGTGGCGCGCCTAGTCGAGAGCGACTGCGAGCGGCAAGAGATGGACTGCAAGCAGCAAATGATGTTTTCTGGCATCCCACGTCCAGCTTCTGAACAAGTAAAGGTGCCTATACCCA